GGGTTCAGCCCCTTGTGGGTGGTGCCATCCCTGGGCTGGTGGTCCTAAGTTCTATGAGAAAGCAGGCTGAACAAGCCATGGAAGCAAGCCAGTAAGCAGCTCCCCTCCATGACTTCTGCATCAGCTCCTACCTCCAGGTTCCTGCCCCGTTTGAGTTCCTGTTCTGACTTTCTTCAATGATGAACAGTAATGGATGTGTAAGCTGAATAAACCCCTTCCTCCCCAACTTGCTTGGGCATGGTGTCTCATTGCAGCAATAGAAACCCTGACCAAGACAGAAGTAAAAGTAGAAGGGAATTAAGGGGACCAGTGGGAGAGAGAGGGGGACAAGTAAGAAAGTGAATATGATCCAAGTACATTATATACAGGAATATAAGTTCATACAAAAACCCATTATTTAGTACAATTAATTGATGTTAATAAAAGAGGAATTTTAGAAAAATTGTTGAATACAACTATAGTTAATGTAGATATAAAAAATAAGTCTGAGTATGATGGCTCATGCCTTTTATCCTAGCACCCGGAGACAGAGGCTGGTAGATCTCTGTGAGTTTGAGGACAATGTGGCCTACATAGTGAATTCCAAGAGAACCAGAGCTACATAATAGAGACCCTTTCTCAAAAACAAAAAACAAAAAAGAAAGAAAGAAAAGAAAAAAGAAAGAAATTAACAGGCTTCAAATGAATATGTCAAAAGTTGTCAGTGTCTTAAACTTCAGGACTCTAAGACTCTGGGTGTCTGTCCTTAGTCTGAGATTTAGCCAAGATCCCACGTATAAAGTTTTAGTAATTTCTTGGTTTATACAGTGTAACCAGAGATAGTTATTTATGCAAATCCTGCACTGTCTACAAAGCAGGTTTTTAAGGAGGAGCAGCTATTGGAGGTGGGGTGACAGGCACAGCCCTGGAAACCTGCAGGGGTCAGAGCCCTAGTCGGGATCAGGAGAAGGATCCTAGTTTCCGTTGGAATTTCACTCCGAGGAGTTCTCCCGGTTTATCTTTGGTCCAGTCTTCTAATCTCTAACCTACTTGGCCATGGGGTGGGCAGTTTTCTGAGCAGTGGCTTGACGTTGACCATTGGCATGGTGAGAACCCTTCTGGTGCCATGAGCTGTGGGATCCAAGCTGCTCCTGTGGCTGGCACTGCTGGCAGGGGTGTGTCTGTGTGGGAAGGGCTGGTGGGGTCATGGCTTTGTGGTCGACTGCTGCCCCTCCTGTTCAACATGGCAGGATGGTGTGGTCAGTGTCTGTTCCCCACCAGAGCTGTGTTTCTCTGGATTCTTCCCTCTTAACGCCTTTGTTGTGGTGAATTTTCCATAACTGGTTTGTCTCTTAAGGTGGTTTGTCTCTTCAGGTCGTTCCTGGTTGTGTGTCTCTGTGCCATACAGCTAAGCAGGCACGCTTTCCTGCAGAGCCGGCTCAAGGACAGAAATGGGGATTCCTGTCCCTTTTGAGATGAAATCTACCTGGTTTGTGAGTACCAGGTTGCAAAGCCATCTTTTTGGGAAGATCGCCACACCTGGTAGCAGCAGAATACACTGGCACTTTAGAACTCACTGTGACCAACATGGCCAGCCTCTTCCTCCTCTTCCTGGGGTGAAGTGTTTTTCCTTCTGGAAGGACATCCACTGGGGCAGGAAGTGGACTACTGTTGGTCTGTAGCCTGGGTAATGCAGGGTGTGGCTGCCCTGTGGCTTCAATGAGACCGTTTCAGCTTGCTCCATCTGTTTTTACAGGTTGCAGCTTCTCTGGCTTGTTTCCATAGGTAAATAAAACCACGCCTACATTTTTGCCTATGCTTTAGGAATCACTTTTAAACTTCTTTTCTCCTTGAGTGGAGGCTGAAGTTTTCATTGTCTTTTTCTTCAGTAGCTGGTCATAGGTAAAGTATGCCTCAAAGACAGGCTTCCGTGCCAGCTGTGTATATGGGGCTTCTCTTTCTGTTACTTGGGAGCACTTGAAATCCGTTTTGCCCTGGGGAACCCGGTCTGCCACCATCTCTCCTCTGCTCAAGCAGTTTGGACCTGGCATGTTTGGGTCAGACTGGGTTTCCTCCAAGCGCTGTGGCACTCCCTCTGGTTGTCTGAGTCCTGCCTGTATCAGATGGCATTGGTGTAGCCTTTTCCAGGAATTGACTGGGAGAGGTGGGGTCGGGATTCTCTAGGGATCGATTGTGGTTTACTGATGTGGGATAGGGACAGGACAGGTAGACCAAGAGGAGGACTTTTCATTGTCCCTCCCTCCTTTTTGAGACAGGGTCTCATCTAACCCAGGCTGGCCTTGAACTTTGATTTTCCTGGTGGAATTACAAGTGTATACCATGCCTGACTCCAGTGTACATCTCTGTTGGACTTACAATCCTGAAATTTAAAAAACAATGTGAATGACCTTTATTCTAAATCTTGTTCGGATGATTATTTTTATTTTCATTGTTTAGATTATTAGTACAGACTGGTCTGAAACTATTATCATCCTGGCTCCACCTCTCAATGGCTATAATTATGAAGTATGCTATCATGCCCAACTGTCAGTTTTTAAAACTATGAAAGCTTAGCTTATGATTATTTGAGTTGCAAAGTTATAATACTAAGGATATTGAAAGCAGTAATAGCAGTCAAGACCTTTTAATCTTATAAACTGCTAATGACAACAATGTGGTATGGGAATCTTTCCTGCTTCCCCAGACTTTATATTTCTTCTCTGAACTCCTAAATCCAGTAACCAATGTGTACTTGTATTAGTTACTTTGTTGCTGTGATGAAGCAGCATGACCAAGGCAGCTTATAAAAGAAGTTTACTGGGCTCCCAGTCACAGGAGGTTCAATTCCATAATGGCGGCCAGCATGGCTGGCCCGAAAGTCAGAGCAGAAAGCTGAGCGCTCACATCGTGAGCTGCAGGCAGGAAACGACACAAGGCCTTTTGTCTCAAAGGCTTCCCCTAACAATGTACTTCCTTTGGCAAGGCTGCACTACCTGAACCTCCCCAAACAGCACCACCATCTGCGGACCAAGTGTTCAAATGCCCGAGACTGTGGATGGCGTTTCTTATGCAAACTAATAGAATACTCATGATTATAAACAAGTCTCCCTCCTTATCAATGCCAGAGTTACAGGTCTTCACTACCACCACATCTACCTCAAGACTTCTTTTTATATTCAGGAACACAGTTGGTCAGTTCTAGCTCTGTATTAAATACAGTAGTCTCCTTCTTGGATTCTGAAACATTCTAGTTCTAGAACTAGAACATAGCTCTAGTGTTCTGTTGAGTTCTAGTGTTCCGTTGGGGTGTGCAGCCTGTGAAATTGAGGAAGTTTCTCAGTAGAATCAGGGAGTAATCAGAAAACAAACAAAAACAGATTAGTACCTATGGGCACATCTACTCAAACTTTTAGGTGAATATTAGATTCGGGGACTGTAGACTAGAACTATAATAAAAAGCATTTGAGACAAGAGATGTGTCCTTCTTAACTGTTTGTTTTTGAGATGGAAAGCTCAGTGTGAAATTTAGATCTTATTACAGAAATTGAAACGAGCTCATGCAAGTTAATCTCCACTGCACCCGTAAAAGGAAATTGAAAGCACTAATGTTGCATGTATTGTACATACAGTAGCATTTCCTAAATATCTTTGGGGTCTAAATCTGGGAATGATATTCAATGCTTCCTTTTCCTCAGGCTACAGTATCATAGGATTCAATTTTGAAGCTGATAATGGAGGCATTTTGTGGCACAATAGCCCACAAAGGGAAGGAAGGAAGAAGAAAACAGCCAGATCATTGAAACAGGCAAACAAGATCAGATGTTCACTTCTGAGCTGCTTTTTGTTGGTAGACAGAAATTAATTAATTGTGTCCATTTCTGGGGCACACTCTCACTTACACTTTCAATTGACCATTTGTTGGTGGCTCATTCTTGGTTTTTAATTCAGAAGATGATTTTCTATGCTAATTTGAAGGGCATGAACAGAAGGATATTGTAGGCCTGGCAGACTTTATACCATTAATTTAAAATTTTGTGAGTCAGGCATGGTGGCTCAGGCTCATAGGCAGAGGCAGGAGGATCAGGAGTTCAAGGTCAGCCTGAGATAGAGAAAAAGTTCCAGCTTAGCCTGGGCTACAGAGGCTACCCTGTCTCAAAATTACCAGTAAAAGAAAACAAATGGGGGTCATATGATCAAGATGAAGTGTTGACATATTGAAATAGTCGAAGAGTAAAAGACATTCCATTTAAAACCAACAAGCAATTCTGTATGACCATTGTGCTGGTTAGTTTGGCATTTCCCAGAACCACTGGGAAGAACCTCAGTTGAGGAACTGTTTGATCAGATGGACCTGTGAGCATGCCTCTTGGAGACTGTCTTCATTGCCTTCATTGTATGTGAGGACCTGGCCACTGTGGGGGGCACTATTCCCTAGGCAGGAGACTCTGAACTATGTACCAAGGAAGAGAGCTAGCTGGGCAGTCAAGCAGGCGGCCTGCTCACATCCTTTTCTCTCCATCCTTTACTATGGATGGTGACCAGCTGCTTCAGGCTCCTGCTGCTATGACTTTACTGTTGTGATGAACTGTCCTGGAATTGTAAGCCAAATACACCTTTTCTAAGATGCTTAGTGAGGGTATTTATCACAGCAATGGACAGGAAACTGGAACAACCACATTCTGTGTTGGACAGAAGTGCACCTTATATTTCCCGTTAGATTTTTCTGTATCTCCTTCAACTGTACTAAACAGTGAGTTTCTATCTATCTTGTTTTTAAAATAAAAATTACTTTATTTCAAAGCTGGTGACTCCAACTGTAAGCTCACAGTCTATGTAATTAATACAGAAGCTTTCTCCCCCTTCCCAGTACTGGAGACTTTAACTAAGGCCTCTTGTATCTTACCATCTCTGGCCCTTTGGAAGCCATTTTTAAAATGGCTCCATTCTCAAATAGGATTCTATCTGACTAAACTATAAGGTATTCTGTGATTTTTACCTTCTGTGTCTTTTACCACAGACATCAGGACTGTGGTGGAGATTGTGCGTTTAGTGAATGAGAAACAAACAAAAGGAGATATTTTTGGAGAGAGGTGGAACGACTACTGTATTCCAGGAATGCAGCAGAAACTGCACAGTTCTCTCCAATAGGCTATTCCCCCTTTCTTCTTTTGAGACTGCGAAGCAGGCCCCCACCTCCTGGGCTTGTAGGCATGTGCCCTCGTGCCAGGCTTTCTGAGAAACTGCACTGTGTTCAGATCAGTTTAGGATCTGCACTTCCCTCCATCTCAAGAGTCAGGGGGTTTTGTTGTTGCTGGAGTCAGAGCTCTCACCTTCTTGTTCATCCTGATCAAGTATTTTCCTAGGTTGGTGGTTCAGGGCTTAAAGATTCTCCACAGATTTGAAAATAGTCAGCTGTTACGATTCTGACATATTGTGAAGCCCACTCTTCCTCCTGTTCCTCTAGAGACCCCTGGCATGCAGTGTTCATACTTCTCTGCAGTCTGAAGAATTCCTTCTAGTGCCCATTGTGGAGCCAGCTTAGTGTCCTAAGCTCCTTTATCCTGACTTTGTCGTAGACAGTTTGTATTCCTCCATCAGTTATGACAGTCAGGTATAGTAGTCTGGGTTGGCATCTCTGATTTTCAGAGTTTAAAATGTATCATTCCTTGCCCTTCCAGCTTTTAAAGTTTCTGTATGAAATCTGCTGTTGTTCTGATAGGCCTGCCTTTATGCATGATTGGGTGTTTCTCTCCTGCATATTGTGGTACACTTTCTGTTCTGTGTATTTAGAGTTTTAACTGAAATATGATGTGGGGAGTTTCTTTTCTGGTTCCATCTAGTTAGTGTTCTATATATGCCTGTTGTATTGGAGAGGCCTTTCCTAAGACTTACAAAATTCTCTGTTATGATTGTATTGAAAATATTTTCTATGCCTTTGACATGAAGTTGTCCATCTCCTGTGCTCACAATTTATAGATTTTATCTTTTTGTAGTGTTCCAAAGATCTTGCCTGCTCTGTTCATATGTTTAAAAAAGTTATCATTGGTCAGGTGTGGTGGTGCACCCCTTTTATCACAGCACCTGGGAGGCAGAGGCAGGCAGATCTCTGTGAGACAAGCCTCTGAGCCTGTCTGTGAGGGGTTGTCTAGATTGGGGTAACCAAGGTGGGAAGACCCACTGCACATGTGGGAGTCCTAGACTGAATCAAAGACAGACCATGAGCTGAGCCTTCATTTCTCACTGCTTCCTGACTGTGATCACAGTGCCATCCGCTGCTTCCAGCTTCCGCTGCTGTGCCTTTCCTACTGGGATGCAGTCCCTGGCACTGTAAACAATGAATCTCTCTTCCCTTAAGTTGTATTTTGTCGTAGCAACAAGACAAGTGCCTGAGCTGAGGAAGGAAAGTTTCAAAGGGCAATCACAGTATAGCTCAGCCTAAAGCGGAGCGAAGATGGAGGTGTTACAGGAAGTCACTGTCTCAACCAGTTTTTTCCTGATTCCTGGTGTTGTATCCAGAGAACTGCACAAGAGCAAAGCAACAAGACGTTTTATGTAACGAGAAAGAAAGCAGGATACACTGCAAAGGACCAGCAGCCTACTTGAGCTAGAGTGCCCAAGACCATCAGCTACTGTTTGATAAGTCCTTTCATGGGCTCCAGGAGTAGGAGTCTGTTGCTAAGGGATATGGTGTGGGTGGTTCTCTGTTTTGATTGATGGGCTTGAGCTCTATAAGCCTCTCCCTACTATGCATGTCCTTTCCAATGATGCCTCTAATTTTAATGATATATATAGCAAACTGGGCATAGGCATAAGATAGTCAGTAAAGGGGATTTTTCCAATAAGATCACTAAGGGGACACAGTTTGCTTTAATGTATACGGATCCAAAACCAGTCAAGGTTAGACGGGCCCATTGTCTATAGCTCCCAGATAATTCCAGGATATATTTGGTAATACAAGGGGAGTTATCAAGGAGTTGCCAAAGGAGAGTGACCTATTGCATTGTTGGAAGCAGCTTGATGCAAGTGAGGGTCCTAGATTGCTTGGGGCATGGTTAGGTAAGGAGTGTGTGTATAACTCAAGTTCTAGACTTTAAGCTGTCCCTGTGCTTGACTGCCTCAGACTTTCTTGGAGGGAAGCCATGGGGTGAGAGGAGGCATGTAATAGACATACTCTCTGATGTGTTCCATAGTGAGGAAAGTGGTAGGAAATTTTGGGGGATTTGATATAAGTATATTAGTTACTTTTCTATTGCTGTGATAAGACATCATGACTAAGGCAACTTATAGACGAGTTTATTTGGGGCTTACAGTTTCAGAGGGTTAGAGGCTATGATAGCAGAGCTGAGGTAGCAGGCAGCAGGGGCAGGGGCAGCAGCTGAGAGCTCACATCTCAAAGCCCACTATGGTAGTAGAATATAATTGGCCCCCATAAGCTCATAGAGTGTGGCTTTGTTGGAGTAGGTGTGGCTTTGTTGGAGTAGGTGTGGCATTGTTGGAGGAAGTGTGTCACTGTGGAGGTGAGCTTTGAGGTCTCATATATGCTCAAACCATTCCCAGTGTCTCAGTTTACTTCCTGTTGCCTGCACAAGATGTAAAACTCTCAGCTACCTCTCCAGCACCATGTCTGCTTACACACTGCCATGTCCCACCATGATGATAATGGACTAAACCTCTGAACTGTAATTAAATAACAGTTAAATTAATACACCCAATTAAATGTTTTACTTTATAAGAGTTGATGTGGTCATGGTTTCTCTTCACAGCTATAGAAACCCTAACTAAGAAACCCATCCCCCAGAGACACATCTTCTCCAACAAGGCCACACCCCCTAATCATTCCCAAACAGTTTCCCCAACAGGGGACCAAGTATTTAAACATATGAGCCTGGGGGCATTCTCATTCAAACCACCACAATAAGCAATAGTATATTGAAAAGTAACCTAATAACAATAACTATTACTTACAAGAAAAAAATACAACTGTCATAGCACAATAACCATAATAACTTGTGGCTCAGCTGGATATTCATGTAACTGTGAGGGGAGGGGGGAAGGGAGGGTGTGAGATGCTTAAATCTCATCCAGCTTAACAGGATAGTCATATTTCGTGAAACTGATGTGTTATTCAGAGGCATGGAACAGAATATTAGATTAGCTAAAACAGTTGATTCCCCCCTCCCATAGAAAGTGAGTTTGGGGGTTAATGTAGTAGGATTTGATATAAGACTATTTGGTAAAAGATTATTCTAAAAATTTTATGATAGTATATTATTTTCAGTTTTTAAAAAGCTAAGGGCTGGAGAGATGGCTCAGTGTTAAGACCACGGACTGCTTTTGCAGAGGTGAAGGGTTTGAAATCCAGCACCCACATGATAGCTCACAGGTCTGCAACTCCAGTCTCAGGAGATCTCACACCCTCTTCTGGCCTCCACAGGCACTGCATGCACATGTTGGCATAGACATACATGAAGGCAAAGGACTTACACACATAAAAATAAATAATGATTTTTAAAAGTTAAACTTATTGTGTGTGTATGTACATGTGTGCATGCATGTGCATGTGAGTGTGTGTTGTGGAGACCAGGGGAGTCAGTTCTTCCACCAAAGGGACCGAGGGATTAACTTGGTTTGTCAGATTTGGTAGCAAGTGCCTTTACCTACTGAGCCATCTCACCAGCTCTGTCTGCAGTTTAGAAGGAGGGAAAGTTTGACACATCCTACATTGTATTGAAGACCTTGTAGTAGGTCAAGTTTACCAAACACGAAAGGACAAACACTGTGTGATTCTACTTGTGTGAAGGACCCAGGATAGGCAAGGTCATAGAAAGAAAGTCGAATAGTAGTTGTAGAGGCTGGGGAGAACAGGAGCAGGGAGTGGTCCTTAATGAGTACAGTTTCAGTTGAGGGAGATAAAGGCATTCTGAAGAGGAAAGGTGGGGATTGAATGTATTCAGTGCCTCTTGCCTAAACACTTATACATATTTTACTACAATAGAAAGTAACTCAAAGAAAAAAAGTGGATGGGCATGGTGGCTCATGTCTGTAATTCTAGCACTTGGGAATTGGAGGCAGGAAGATCAGAGTTCAAGGTCATCCTGAAGTACATAGCAAGTTTGAGGTCAGCCTGGGCTATATGCTCAAAAAAGAAAAAAGAAAAAAAAAAACACTACTGTTGTGGTGGTTTGAAAGAAAATGACCCCTAAAAGGAATGGCACTATCAGGAGGTGTGGCCTTATTGGAGGAAGCGTGTCACTGTGGGGGTGGGCTTTGAGATCTCTCTTGCTCAAGCTTCCCTCAGTGTGACATCTAGTCAAGTTCCTGTTGCCTCTGAGTTAAGAGGTAGGATCCTCAGCTCCAACACCATGTCTGCCTGCACGCTGCCATGCTCCCCACCATGATGATAATGGACTGAACCTCTGAAAATGTAAGCCAGCTCCCTCAATTAAATGTTTTCATTTGTAAGAGTTGCTGTAGTCATGGTGTCTCTTCATAGCCATACAAACCCTAACTAAGACAACTGTTTTTTGAGTAGTTAATTATATGCATGCTTTATTTTATAACAACATTAGTTTTCAGAAAGCTATTGAGGTCATGTGTATCATGAGTGTTTGTACATAAATTTCAGTCTTTGAGACAGGAATTTCCTAGCCTCAAACTCTCCATGTAGTTGAGGATGACCTTGAACTTATGACTCTCCTGTATCCATCTTTCAATTACAGGGATTACAAGCATGTACCGTCTCATCCAGTTTTAGGTTTAAGGCAGTGCTGGGGTTTGGTCCAGGTCTCTGTGCATGCTAAGCAAGGACCCTGCTAACTGAGTTATATCACCAGCCCGTGTCCATAGACTTTATGACATAATTTGGACTACATAGAGTCCATTTACTACCCCCCCCACACACACTTCTTACCTTTGGTCTCTTTAGATAAGGAGTTATTTTCAAGTGGGAGAAGTGTTATTAGATATAGATATTTAGAGAATACATCAGGAGCATTTGAGATCTCAGAGTCCTAAGTGTGCACATTAGCATTGCAAATAAAGGCAAATTCATTCATCTTGGATGATGACCTTGCTATGCTGGAATTTCCCTTCACTGGCCCTGCTCATCTCAGTGGCCAGTCTGGGTTCTTGACGTATAGTCATGGCTTGGGGTAACCCATAACTGAGTTGATCCAGGAACTGGGTTGGATTCTGAGTGAATTTAAGATACATTATCATGTGAATGTGTGTTTTCAAGCTGTTTCTAGATCACAAGTTTAAAACCACAAGTTTGAAAATCTGTCTTATTGTTTTGTTTTGTGGGTGTTTTGCCTGCTTGTATGTCTGTGCACCATGTGCATGCAGTACCCCTGGAGGCCAGAAGAGGGTGTTGGATCTCTTGGGAGTAGAATTTGTAAGCCCCCCATGTAGGTTCTTTAACCTGGTCTAAATAGCAGGAGTATGTATATTTATTTCCTTCTGGTTTTAGGCAATAAAAGGCTAGCGAGCTTGGCAGTAAGTTCAGCTAGTCACGTGCAGTCCTAATTCAAGTCAGCGTCTCTTAAACTTACTGATGAGGAGCTGGACTGAGGAAGAACCAGGCGGTAGAAAACAACTTTCTGCAGCCACTGAGACCACGGAGGCTGGCCAGCCTTTAAGACAGGCTGCTGGGTTCTGACAGATGGCCTCCTTTGTGTCTGAGCCTTTCTTTCTACGAAGTGCTGCTGTGTACTGCTGTCCCATCTAAACTTTGCTCTTTGTTCACAGTACGAGATGAGAACAGAAGCACGGCGAAAGAATCTCCTCATTTTGATTTTGCATTATTTAACACAAGAAGGGTATGTTATCTCACACGTTTATGGTTGATGCCTCTCCTCTCCGACCCTTCAAAAGCAGAGACTGCACTGTACTTTTAGAACAGCTTTATATTTACAGAAAAATGAGCAGAAAGTATAGTGAGTCCCTATATACTCTTTCTCCTCACCTGTTTCCTATCTTTCTATTACTATTAATAATATTATTATTTGCAATGTTGGCAAGGGATCCTGGGAAAGCACTCTACAACTGAGCTCCAACCCAGTCCCTTATTAACATCTCAAGTTAATGTAGTTAATTTGTTATAACTGGTGAGCGGTGCTAATGCAATGACATTCTCCAAGTCCATAGTTTACCTCATGGCGTTTTACCACAGCAACAAAAAAGTAACCAAATACAGCAGCTTCACCCATATTTGGCTAAAACTGAGGAAAGGCAATCCAAAGACAGTCGCTTAATTGACTTACTTATTTGACTGTAAGCACTTTAAAAATTGCTTTGGACAATAGTAACATCACTAGAAGCAGGTAACTTCCAGACAGAACTGTTGTGCATGACAGTATTTGGGTATATTTAACATGTGGTTCAATTACATGTCTGTAATCTCAGGGCTTCAGAGGCTGGCACAGGAGGATCATGAGTTCTAAGACAGCTTGAGCTATGTAGTAAAACCTTGTCCCTAAAACAACCAACCTGAAAACAAAAAAACAAAAACAAAACACCAGCAACCAAAAAGACCCCCGCCATGTAGTAGCATTAAAAAACGCAAACCAGAAAACCCAAACCTAGAAAACAAAATCCAAAACAAACCAAAAAATCCTATGTAAGCTTCCTTACTGTAGAAAAACCTCTCTTCCACACCCGTTTTTCTGTAATGTGCTGCTTAATGTCTGCTTGCTCTCTGTGCTGAGTCTCTGGTCTGCGGCCCGTCTGCCTTCACTCCTTAACCCGGACTTACTCTTTTCTCTTATGTAAACCCACAGCTATGTCGATTCGGCTAATGCTCTGGAGGAGGAGTCTAAGCTGGGATTACGGCGCTTTGAAGTTTGTGACAATGTTGACCTGGAAACAATTTTGATGGAATATGAGAGCTATTATTTTGTAAAGTTCCAGAAGTACCCCAAAATGGTTAAGAAGGTGCCAGACCCAGGTACATAGCTCTGTGCTAGAAATGACACTTTATGCTATTGTTAAGAATGGTGTTTCTGTTGGCCCACCTCTGAAACCCCAATATCAGGAAGGTGGGGGTCTGAAGATCAAAAGTCTGAAGACCAGCTTATCCTATCCCTCCCCCAACAAAAGGTGTTCCCAGGAACATGACTAGATGTTTCCTTTATGTGCCTGGAAGTATAGACCAGAAAGACCTGGAGCCTATGCTGGACCCAGAACTGGCCATTCAAACAGGATTGCCTGGATTTTGACATCCCCTAGTCCTGTTGGCATTTGTCTGAGGCCTGTGTTTTAGGGTAATGAAAGCAAAGCCCGGGTGTATTGCCGGTGCTCTTTAGAAGAAAGACCAGCATTAACTTCTGGAGTGATGGAAAGGGCTATTGGAAGACGATAAATGACAGAAGACCTCTTGTTAGGAAGACCTATTATCTCTCTTGAAAATAACATGGAAATGAGTATGGGTGAAGCTAATAGCTCATGTATAGATAATGAAATGCTTTTGAAAGCCATCAATCCAGATGGTGATCAATAGAATGCAGAGACCCAGGATAGGTCAGCAGTCAAGGAGGCTCTAAAGGCGAGGGCCTAGGTTTGTAGTAACATTGACTTAGAAGTCTGTAAGTAGGGGAAGTAATTACAAACCAAGGCAGATCATTGTCCTGTTTACAAGGCACTTGTCAAGCCACAGACGTTAACATTTCATGTAGGGACCAGGAAACCAAGAGGAGCATCAATTAAAAATAGCCAGGGCAAATCTAGACTTGGAAGAGGTCTGCGATTTTCATTTTCTTCTTTTATTTCCTCTGAGCTCTCTTCCAGTGAAGGGTTCAGAGCTCAGCTTATTTGGCTGGTTGTTTAATCTGGGCACTGGCTCCTACACAGAGAGACAAGCCCTGTTCTCAAGGAACTGATTTCTAGATGGGCTGTTCTCACCTAGCTTGACATTCATTTCCCCTGTGATACTGAACACAGTGCCTTAACTCTCCAGGTCCGTTGGTAGAATTGGACTCAATAATTAAATTCCTGTCAGACCCATGCAGTCCTAGAGTGCTATGTGACCCAGAAAAACAGTGGCAAATTCATGAAACTTCTGTGGACCAGCAAGCCTAAAGTCAGCCTGGTGTGGGTATCGATCTCACATTTGGGGTCTGTGATACATTTCCTAACTGAGATGTCTTTCTCTGCATGGCTCAAAATTTCTGAGAAGCTGTGAGTTCCTTCTGTTCTCTGGTCCCTTCTCTTTTCCTTAGCATAGCTGTCTGTGGTCCAGAAGGCTGAAGCACACGATGTAAGAACATATAAGAACACTGTGGAAGAAAAATGTACCTGGAAGTTTGTTTGCTCTCTCTTAAGACTAAATTCTACCCCCATGTTTGTTTTTCCACTGTAGAAAACAATTTACCACCAAAAAATGGAGGGAAGAACAAAAGGTAAAGTGATTCATCTTGATAGACTTTTTTTTTTTTTTTTTTTTTTTTGAGACAGAGTCTCTCTATATAGCCCTGGCTGTCCTGGAATTCCCTCTGTAGACCAGGCCTTGAACTTACAAAGATCCACTTGCTTCTGCCTCCTGAATGCTAGGATTAAAGGTGTGCATTAGCTTGCCAGTCCTGATCAACTTAACTCTTAAGAGTCTGTGGGATCTCTTTCCTAAAGAGTCTCCAGTGCAACTCCATGACTGTCTGCCAGCAATACAGACTGAGGCCATGTGACCTTGGAGTCCCCTCCTGTCACCACTGCCTGGACTTAAGCCAGTGTCTTTGGAGTCTCCCAGGTCACTGAAAATTATGCTCAGTGATATCCAGTCTTTCTCAGCCACGTGGCCTACAAAGTCTGGATCTCCAAGGTTAAAAGATTGGCGCTCAGTTCCCACCACTGCTTTTTATAAGGACAGAACAAGCTTCTGGCATATCCCCCGGGTTGGCTGGCTTGGGGCAGCAGAGACTGTAGTTTTTTTGTTTGTTTGTTTTTTTGTTTTTCGAGAATGGTTTTCCCTGTGTAGCTTTGTGCCTTTCCTGGATCTCGCTCTGTAGACCAGGCTGGCCTCGAACTCACAAAGATCTGCCTGCCTCTGCCTCCCATGTGCTGGTATTAAAGGCATGTACCACCACTGCCTGGCTGAGACTGTAGGTTTTTGCTAGCGTAAAAATGCCAAAAGTTCAGGGGCAGATGAAGGTACAATTCTCGAAGAAACTTCACTGCATACTCAATTTAGGCAATGAAAAGAAATATTTTCTAAATCTTAGAATGTGCCAGAAAAAGGAAACTTAGATTGAGATAATAAGTAGTTAGATCTTGAGAGGTGTGCGTTCTGTATGCCCCAATCAAGTGCCTCAGTTTTGTGAATTCAGTTCCCTGTATCCAGCCAGAGAAGAAAGAACCCAGAGACCTCAACAGGGCTGCTTGGCATCATCGCTAACAATGGCTGGATGGCCCATGCATTCTTCAGAACAGTGGTTAGGACTGTCTTCTGCCTGAGGTCACCACTGCTTTGCAGCTGTCCTTTAGGGACAGTGTCACTGTCTTAATGGAGGTGCTACTGCTTTATGTACAGTTTCCATAAAGCTAGTCAGCCTCTGGTGATAAATGGTAACGACTTGTGAGTAGCAACAGTAGGGGCACTTTAAGAGGCCAGCTTTGGAGTGTACTTGGGCTCCGATTGTTTTTCAGTACATTCATGCCTGCTGTGTGCTCAGGGTACTTCACCTGGTAGGTGCTTGGTGAGCGATTGTTGGACAGCCACATGTAAAAGGAAATGGGGGGAGTTAGTGGCACATGTAGCCATTTGGGGTTTCCTCAGTTCTTCTGAGTTGATGTCTGTATATGGCAAGCACAAAAGTTGAACACCAAATGGTTAGTCAGGAAGGAGGATCAGGAAAGCAGTGGACAGTGTTTCTGGCCACTGTAGGCCTTTTGTTGTTGTTATTTTATTTTTATTTACGTGTGTGAGTGTTTTAAATGCATGTAAGTATGTGTGCACCACATCTGTGCAGTGCCCACAGAGTCAGAAGAGGACATTAAATCCCCTGGAACTGGAGTTACAGGCAGTAGTGATCTCCCCAACATGGGTGCTCGAGCTGAACTTAGGTTCTTTGCAAGGTCGTCAAGTGCTCCTAGCCACTGAACCATCTCTCTACTGCTCTGGGCGCCATTTCATGCTGAAATACTTGCTCAGGAACAGGGCGCGTCATCAGATTACCCATCGGTCATCCGAGTGCTCTTTCCTAATTTTGTGCCTCACACCAGAGATTTCTCCCAGTTATGGATCTCCTGATGATCCAAGGGAGAGAAGTTATCTAATGAGACAGATGACAGAATTGGGGTCCCAAAAGGCTTGAGAATTTGTGGGATGGGCCTAAGATAATGGAATTTGATGGAATAAGGTTCAGGCTTTACCAAGTAGCCTCCCCACTGGAAAATCAAACACCTAGAAATCAAGTGAACAGTAGGGCAACACCGCTTGAGTGAAGTGTGATTTCTGATGTGGTCTCAGGCCTCATCAATAGAAAAATGCTGTCCAAAAATTAGGTTAGTTTATTCCGGTCTAAAGACAGTGGGCAAAGAGTAGCTAACCAGGGCAAGAAGGGATCTGGGAGCCAGGTGACTTTAGCGGTGACAGGAACGAGTAGAGGTGTTTGGCTACAATACAGAACAGCACAGTATCTCCTTTACCCTCCTGAGGGTTGTGGTTGTTCTCACCACCGCAACCAAATACCCAACAAAAAGCAGCTTAGGGGAGGAGGGGCTTCTTTTTGGAAGAATGTGGTCCATCATGGTGGGAAAGCATGGTGGCAGGAGTGGCTTGGTCTGTGACACTGGCCAGGAAGCAGAAGAAGGACAGTTGGTTTTCTCCTTTTTCTCTGTTAGTTCTAGAACTCCAACTCATAGGATGCTGTTTAACAAGTCTTTTTCTGTCCAGCTCCCAAATAATGACATGGAGACTTCTTATTAATTACAAAAGCTCAGCCTATAGCTTAGGCTTGTTCTTAACTAGCTCTTATAACTTAAATCAACCCCTTTATATTAATCTACATTCTATCTTATGGCATCTCTTGCATCTTGCACCTCCTGTTTCCTCTCCATGTCTCCTGGTGTCTCTGCATGCCTAGATTCATCTCCTACTTCCCCTCTCTCTCTGCCTGTAAGTCCCACCTATACCTCCTGCCTAGCTGTTGGCTGTTAAAGCTCTGTATCAAACCAATCACAGCAGTATATCTTCACACAGTGTACAGATATCCTACAACAATGCTGCTGCTCACTTTTAGGGTAGGTCTTCCCTTCTTAATTAAACTTCTCTGAAAAAAGCCTCACAGACATGTGTGGGTCTGTGTGTCTCATTAATGCCTTAAGCGTTTCTTTATTTTATGTTTATGAGTGTTTTGCCTACATATGTATCTGTGCACTACATGTGTGCAGTGCTTGCAGAAGTCAGAAGAAGGCATTAAATCCTCTGGAATTGGAATTACATGAGTGCTGAGAAAGGTCATTGAACCATCTCTCCAGCCCCTCATCAGGTCTTTTTTAATCCAGTCAAGTTGACAGCCTTAGCAAGAGGCTGGACTGTCTCTGTGGAATTCTCTTGAGCATAGGACTGGTGGATAAAGTTAAGGCAGAAGAAGTTTGCTTCTATATTCAGAAGAATTTTATAATCATTGGTGCTTTTGTCTTGAGTCATATTAAAGCAAACTTTGTGACTCATTTTGCTGTTAATGGGAAATCAAAATGGGAAGACAAGAGATCTGAGAGACCCAAATGGATGTTGAGACTTTGTGTGTATGTGTGTGTGTGTGTGTGTGTGTGTGTGTGTGTATGTGTGTATTATTTACAACTTCATTTAAACCAACCCTATTAGCAGAGCTTGCATGTATAAAATGCTTGGTAATTATTTCATGATTATTTCATTTTTGTGCCAGCAGAAGGCCTGAAGGACAGATTTTCTTATGTCTAAGTTAGAGATGAAAAAAGGATGCCCTAGGAATGGCCCATGACCATGTCTCATGAGTGAACATTAGAGTGTGGACACCGGTAGTATTATTGACATGGTAGTTATTTTAGAGATGATCAGCTTTTCTTTTCCATAATGACGTGGAACTGAGGCAGAAGCTGTCTGAGATCATTTAGAACATGAGAGTCATTCCTCTAGTGAATCTCCTGCAGATACCTTGCAAAGAGCTGAGAAAAGAGAGCCGCTTAAGACATGGGAGCTCATGTTGGCCTCCTAAGAAGGTCCTGCACATCTCTGACCTTGTCTTCCATTGCAAATGCAAACATCCCAATACCATTTTTTCTTTTGGTCTACTGATGAGGATGTACTGAACAAATTAGTTCTGCCCTTGTAGCATTGTGTAACACATACTCAAATGCGTGTGCCGTGCCTATCATGACAGCCTACCAGCAGACTCCCTTCATCCCTTCCCTTCCCATAAACCCCGTCTTTACCAGAGTTAGCCACTCTCCTGACTTCCAGCCCCGTCAATGTGTTTTCCCAGAAATGAATATACTGATGAGAAATCGTTTCACAAAGATGAATGATATGTGACAGTGGACATGGGCTAGGCTTTGCTGTCCTTCCATAGGCCCCCCCCTTCAAAATGTTTTATTACTTATGTGTATTTGGGTGTACCTGTGTCTAGTTACCTGTAAAGGCCAGAAGAGGGTGTCGGATCCCCTGGAGATGGATGGAGTTACAGGGAGTTGTGAGCTGCCTGATATGGGTGCTGAGGACCAAACTCGAGTCCTCTGGAAGAGCAGCCAATGCTCTTAACCGCTGAGCCATCTCTCAAGCCTATAGGCCCTTTGATGTTTTTGATGCTAAGAGATGTTTCACATAGAGGAAGTATATTCAGTATACAGGGTTACAACCCAGAGCCCTAGGTCTTCTGACGTTTTATAACTTGAGTGCAAGGATTGCTTCCTCCCTTCACCCCCACGTTTCCCTGATGCTCATGAGGAGGGTGGAAGAGGTTAACAATGGAAGTATTCTTCTAAAGCAGTGGTTCTCAACCTTCCCAATGCTACGACCCTTCAATTCAGCCCCTCATGTTGAGGTGACCCCCAACCATAAAATTATTTTTGCTGCTACTTCTAAACTGTAATTTTGCTACTGTTATGAATTGTAATGTCAATATCTGATATACAGGATATCTGATATGTGATCCCTATGAAGGGGTCATTTGACTTCCCAGAGGGTCACGACCTACAGGTTGAGAACTAATGTTCTAAAGCACTGTTTGTTGTTGTGTTTTATTTAAAAATTTTTTTATTTGATTCATATGAGTGGGTTTTTGAAAACTAAAGCAATCTTCCAAATTGTAGAAACCCTGTGGTGTGAAAGAGAATGGAAGAGGGTGAGTTGGGTCTCTGGGAGGGTTGGACACTCTAGCTTGGTTGGGAGGAGCCCAGTGAGTAGCCAGGAGGGAGTTGGAACCAGGTCAGATAGGAGCAAGTAGAGGGCAAGTAGAGGGCGGATGGAAGTATCTCATTGTGCTGTGCGCATACATCTTTCAAGAACTTTCTTTAAATGTGCTATACTAGTTATTTACTTACCTTGAATTAAATGGTTAGAATACTTTCCTGAAGGCTTTTGTTTCCTCTCTTAGGATGACAAATGACAATTGTCAAAATCTCCCCAAGATATATCAGCAGCGGCTACGACCTAAAACCTCAACAGGGAAGACAGGGGACACCAAATCTGTCAAGGAACATCCTAAACAGGTTGAGATGACTGCTTGATGTCGGTAATACCACACTTGGCTGATAAATGGCCTTAAGAAAAATCGCTTATTTCTTTGTTTTTTGAATTTCTCTTTTTAAAAATTGCTGAATGATTTAATTAAACTGTAGTGGTCCCTGAATACTATAAGACAGTTTAGTAGGCTGGAGAAAAAAAAAAAGAAAAAAATGGACAGATTCCTAGATTTGCTAGCTCTTTCTCTAGTTTCAGCTCGGGGTGAGGGTACTGGGCGGTTTTGGGCTGGCTGGTAAGATTCTCAGCTGAGATAAGTGCAGAAAGCAGGTCTTCCCATCCCAGACATGTCCTCCAGCTCCCCAGTGTGGTCCGGAACAGTCTGAGATAGAGCTGGGCCTTGGCATCTCCTGCTGGGCTCCTGCAAAGCCTGTAGGGTTAGTCCTCACCCGACACCGAAACACTAGACCTTCTAGAAGGGAGAGGGGCAAGAGAAGTAGGCCCAGCAGATGAGTGAAATCAGTGACTCCTGCCGCAGGAGATCTACGTCCAGAACCTTCTTATCTAGGCCAAAACATTCCAGGTATTAAAGAAAAAGGACCAGTGGAAACTGAGAAGAGGTGCCGGAAAGGTTAATGCTGAGGACTAGAGGGATGGAAGGAAGTGATCGTGAGGATCAGTTGACTTGACGAGGGTCTGTGGCTGTTCCCGAGGTAGAAGGGAGGGGATGTGGGGGGACAGGGGAGTTCCACAGGAGGCTGGGGGACTCTGCTGACTCCCTAGACTTGGCAGCCTTGGCCAGAGGAGAAATGACAAGTGGGAGTGGGCTGAGTACGGGTGTTTTTCCACAGGCAAGGCTGCTTAGAACCCATGGCCTGGAGTCTTCTCAGCCTCTGGGATTAGCTCCCTCCTGTGGTACAGGGACATGATGAATTCGTCCTGTAAATCTGAACAAAATTGGCCAGATTGTCATTTTACAGAAGTGGTATCCAGCATTTGGTTTTGCATGGGGCACTCAGAGCCAGGGTCTCAGCGGCTTCCACATCTAGCTTCTCACAGTCTTCCTTTTTCTCCAGGACAGTGTCAATAATGCCCAAGTAGAGAGTGCTGACTTTGGCCTAAACATATCAAAAATCCACAAAGACGGCACCGAGGAAAAGGCCCACCCACGAAGAGTAAGTGGAACTTAGGGTTCTAGGATGGAAAGGGGAGTTTGTTTCTCTCTAGAAAAAGGAAAAGAAAGCACACGGTGTTTGCCGAACATGCAAGAGAAAACAAAAGTATTAAAGGCTGGCTGTGAGGTAAGAGGACTATCCTGTGAGGATCAGAAACCCTGAATGCGAGTCTGATCTGCCCTCTCCTTTCTGGAAGGATGATCTAGAGTGTCCCTCTCTAGGGACCACAGCCTCCTCATTTGCAAATGGAATGTTCAGAAGAGAGAGGGTTCTATGTTCTTCTCAGCTGAAAAATTCAGAGATTAGCTGGGGTGTAATCAGGTGCTAGAGTGCCTCCCATTCACAAAACTCTGTACTTGCTCTCCAGCATCAACAAGGGTTAAGAAAACACAAAGAACCCCACGATGACATGATAAACGTTGGTGTGCTGTGTTATAGTGAGCCAGCGGAGGACAGTCTGGAGGGCCCCGTGCTCACTGTTTTTGGCCAAGGGCAATTGTTTGATGCCCTTCTGCTTGGAAGTTCAGTTCCAGACTTCAGTGTAATTCTTTGTGAACCATGAAAACTAGTCTGTTTAGAGCTGATCCTGTGCTTAATAGATATTCTGCTCCCCTCCTTCTCCTCCTCCTCTCCCTCCTCCTCCTCCTCCTCCTTCTCCTCCTCCTTTTCTTCCTCCTCCTTCTTGGTTTTTGTTTGTTTGTTTGTTTTGTTTTTTTTGAGACAGGGTCTCACTAGCTGGCATAGAACTCACTATATAGACCAGGCTGGCCTCAAACTCAGAGAGATCCATCTGCCTCTGCCTCCCGAGTGCTGGGATTAAAGGTGTGCACCACTAGCTATTTCTGCCTTTTTTTTTTTTCTGACGAAACTCTGGTCTGGCTTTGTAAATAATAGTTTCTCCAAGAGGAAAGTCCTGGATGGGGTGGATGTAACAGGTGGGGTAGTGGATCTTTGGTAAGGAAGAGCACCTCAGGGTCCTCTTGAGAGACCCTCCAGGCTGTCCTTTGTTAACTCTTCTCCTCCAGTCAAGTTGTTGAACCATGGGCTGCTGGGTTAGCTCTGGCCTGCCCTGTAGACAAACTGACCCCTGTGGTGTGTGCTGGAAGGGCTACCAGGCCCACTGGCCTGCAGAGTATGGGGACTGCCTTACCGGCCTGCGGGCTCCTGGGAGGTCTCAGTGAAGTGACCACTGCAGGAGATGGTGCATTTGCCTCCCACCAGAAAATGCTCCCCTGTTAGTTCTCACTGTCCTTGTCAAATTCTTAGTCCCCTGTGGTGTGTCGAGCAGGTTTGTGGCTTTAGTCTCTTGTGAATGTCTCACACTGGTATAAACAGGTGCCTCTGAGTGAGTCACAGGGAAGGGACTATTTAACCCAGCACTTAACCTTTGAAACAGTCTGGCTATAAATTCTGTTTGTAGCAGAAATGGCGTCAGGGTAAAAGGTAGATAGATTTTTTTTTCCCCTCCTTGATTTTCAAATGTTCCTGGGTTGAGTGACAGTGCCTAGGAGTTTTCCCCCAAGAGGGTCTCTCATCACTGTATTAGAGACTCTAGCTTGGATTCTGGTGCCTTGCTGAAAATGTCAAAAGTGTGTTGTTCTTTGGAGCACAGGCGTGGGAGTCAGCTTGCCCAAGTCCACAGTGCTACAGTGGTCAGGTTGTGGTCAAGCCTTATGTCTTGTTTTGTTTTTTAATCTGTACGATGGAAAATATAACACTGCCTGCTTTAAATATGAGAGTGAAAGGAAAGCTTATGTCTTTGCTGCCACATAATGAGCACTCAGTAAACACTGGTGATTGTGTGTCCTACCTCCTCTGTTGATTTCCTTTCCTGACTCTAAGGGAAACAGCACCAGGAGCTTGGAAGATTATGTTAGTTCCTCTGTATTGTCACCAAATGCCAAATGCCTGACAGAAGCAACTTAAGGAAGGGAGGAGATGGCTCCTTGCTTCCAGGGATGGCCATCGTGGCCAGCAAGGCATGGCAGGGTGGCTTGGCGTGGCAGGGTGGCAAGGTGTGGTGGGGCGGCTTCTGTCTGTGATAGTGAGAGCTTGTGGTTGAAGTCCTTCCGTGGTATCCAGCCAGGATGCAGAAGCTAGACTAGAGTCAGAGGTAAGTGTAACCTGCAAAGGGCTGCTGGTACTGACCAATGTCTGCCGGGCAGGCACCATGTCCCAAAGGTTCTACAGCCTCTGAAAAGAGTGCCACCAGTGCCACTTAGGACCAGATATTCAAATTCGTGACACTATGGAAGACATTTCAGAATCAAACATAATTGCAAATATCTGGGTTTGAGTCCTGGCCTCAGTCATTGTTAGTCTTGTGGCCCTGGGCAAATTGCTTAACTCCCTTGGCTTCCCTTCACAGAAGCAAAATTAAAATGTCACTCACCACTAGCAGGGGTGATTGTAGCCTGAGAACCTTGCATACCTGTTTTGTCCCAGGCCATCCTCTACGCAGCACACAGGACCTATCTTTATCCATGTCCCAGTGGGTTCTTCCTGCGTATGTAATGTTTTAAAGGCATGTGGTCAGCACACAGGACCTATCTTTACCCATGTCCCAGTGGATTCTTCCTGCGTATGTAATGTTTTAAAGGCATGTGGTCAGACAGGGCGAGCAGCCACATAAGGAAGCAGACGGCGAGTGTCAGGGATGCAGAACAACCATGAATTTTGCTCATCTAACTCCATTCTGAAGAATTATTTAGTTTTGTATTTTTACACAGTCCTGACTTTTGTACATCATCGTGCTCAGCAGCAGTTCAGCTTTCTCTTAAAACGAAGTTTGCCTGACATACAAGGACATAAACACTTAGCTACTAAGGCTACTCCACTCTCGTGTGCTTATGGTTTCAATAACCATTGCTTCCTTTTAGGGCCAAATCATTGACTTCCGGGGGCTGCTCACAGATGCCATCAAAGGAGCCACCAATGAACTTGCCTTGAACACTTTCGAGTGTAACCCAGACCCTTCAGTAAGTGACCAAGATATGTTCCTCCACTTTCAAACTGCCCAAATCTTGGGGAACTTCTAGAAGTATCACCCCGAGTCCAGAGAACTGTGAAATCTAGTCAAAGGTCATTGCAACCATCACCATTTATTTCTCCAGGATCCTGTTTTTCTTCCTGAATTATGAAGCAGTTCTGTAACGCCAGCCTCTCTGCTCCTCTCACCAGGAACGATTGCTGAAACCTCTGAGTGCATTTATTGGCATGAACAGTGAGATGCGAGAATTGGCAGCCGTGGTGAGCCGGGTAAGATCTGCTATTCAATTCACAAATTTATGGAGGCAGACCAGGGCTCCTGGAGCATTGTGGGCTGCTTCTTTTATTAATAACAATAAATATGATCATTTATTTATAAAGTGCCCCCACTTGCAGAGGCACTCATATTGTTTAGAGGCACAATAATGCATGATAAATAAATTATAGAATCATAAAATTACAATAGAAAAAGCCCACCATCCTACTATAGGGGCCAAGAAAACAGACAGCAAAAAAAGACACAGAATGGAAGGGACAGGTGAAAGGCTTTCTGGCGGGCCCCAGAGCTGAGGAAAGAGGGTTCTAAGAAAAGCAAGGGGCATACGTGTGTTTTGTTTAAAGAGCCACAGTCTGGAAATACAGGGTCTGGGAGTGTGATGACCTCATGCTTGGAAATTTCCATGAGCAAAACAAGATTTGTAAGAAAGATTTTTACCATGACGGTACAGATACCTCAAGCTTGCACTCTGGAACCTAAAGGCAGTGAAAATTAATGGCCAGTGACGCAGCCCTGAAATCAATTGACCTGTATTTGATTTCTGGAGCCTTCTCTTTCTAGCTATATCGTTTTAGGCAAGCTTCTTGGGATAAGAATAGATTATTGATTACAGAAGACTTTCTAATTTCCACTGATCTCAATTTAATTGAAGACTGAAACTGAGGTAGGGTCAAGAAGATGCTTAAAAATCTTCCAAAAAGTGCACAGTTGCTGGGATGCAAGGGTGTTGGAGCCTCTCTGTTCAGTCAGCAGAGGTCCACTGCAAACCCAGAGGTATGCAGAGGGGAGTGACTCGGGCTCAGGCTTCCCTCAAGAGACTCTGGTTGCATGGATGAGTATGGATGAGTGCATCTGGAGAGCAAGAGAGAAAGGATGGAGAAGAGGAGCTGAAAGGCACTCAGAACAAAGGTGGGGTGGAGAGAGGGGCAGGATTCAGGAGGAAGGGTCCCTGAGCAGTATCCAGAATGGAGAATTGGGCGGAGAGATGAGAACCTTGGAATGGCGTCCCTGGGGGGGGGGGGGGGGCAGGTGACCTGTGTGCTGATAGGTAGTTTCAGTGAGGTGGATGGTGGCAGAGCAGTGGAGAAGAGGGGCCAGCTGTGAGGTTTTCACAGTGAAGCAGGTTAAAGATTAAGCTGGGTCAGGATGCACAAGGAAGCAGAGGCTAGCGCTTCTCATAGCCACAAAAATCTGTAGTCTCCCTCCTGTTTTTGCAAAAAGATAGTGTGACAGAAGTTTGAAGCAGAGAGTGGAAGTGACCTGAAAGGACCCCACACTACTGGAGGAGGTGACACAGCTCCCTAGGGTGCTTCCAGTGATGGGAGGATCATTACTTCATGAGGCAGACCTGTTGAGTTGTGACAGACGGCTCTGGATGCATATAAGGAAGAACTTTGGGTTGGGAAATTAAACACCACCTTGTTAAACCCAGTGTTACCTCTAGACTGTGGAGAGAAATACACTTATCTATGGATCCTCATTGTGTGCCATGATTTCCTAAGAAGGGCCTTAATAAGAGATGTGTGTTCTCCCCAAGTTTTGCAAGCCTGAGTCAGGTATGATAGAATCTCTGTCATGCCAGTCAGTACTCAGAGGACAAAGCAGGAGGGCCCCAGCCACACAGTGAATTCCAGGCCAGGGGTACAGAGTGAGACCCTCTCTCAAAACACAAAACACAGAAGACTGGGTTCTCTATCCACCACCCTGTCCAGCAATGGATGATAAACATCATGTATGACTCAATCATTTCTAATAAATACTTTTTCTCAGTAAAGTGGAACTCCTGGGGGAGAACCCTGGGGGTAGGGGAGATAGACGTAAGACCATAACATCTTATGCCATTGTGAAAACATACTTTTATATATTTGAAACGTGCACGTATCACTTATTTAAAAAAAAAACACAAAACAAGTAGATAAACAGTTTCCAGACTTGTTCTTTAGTCAGAATGACATAGGAAAGGACCTTAAAAAAAAAAGTAATACTCCAGACATTGTTTGCCTGAAATAGCTCCTATCAAGAAGGGCCCCTGAGTGACTGTTCAGAGGCGTCTTGTGAAATTGAAATTGGGAAACTGTAAATTAGTTATCAGTAAAAGCTACTTAATTGATTGCCCTAGGGTGGTTGCTACAGGCTCTCCTGTAAGAGGGGAACTGCAGGCACGTGGTTGTTGGCCTCCTTGAGCGTTGCAGAGGCAATCGCTCCAGCTGGAAGCTGGGAATGCTCACTGGGGAAAACGGAAATTGGTTTCAGGGGAGCGTAGGAGAAGCATCTCTTTGCAACAAATTACAAAAGCATTTGCCAGATCAAACAGCTAGACAGACCAGACGCCCAGCATCAGTAAGGACATGTTTTTCACTAAAAATTAGGATAATTTGAAGGCACTTCTTGACTCTGGTCATAAATCAGCAGAGGTTGCTATTGACTACAGGCAGGCATAGTTCACTGTTAGACAGCCCCCCCTCCTAAAAGTGCCGTATTATACTATCAATATTTTCTTTGGGGAAAATCATTGACTACTTTCCATCTCTTTGGTAAACTGACCCCAAATTATAACGTATGCATACACGTTATAATACTCATGAAACATTTTTTTATCACCAGCACATTATATTCTATTAAGTCGGGTGTTCTTTGCTGCCATGTTTATTCCAGAAGTGGAAGAAAGTGTTAGTTTTAACAAAACAATCAAATGCACATTGCAGGACATTTATCTCCATGATCCCAACATAAAGTGGAATGACATTATTGGACTGGACGCGGCCAAGCAGTTAGTCAAAGAAGCCATTGTGTACCCAATACGGGTAAGTATGGGAAACCATGTTTCTGATCGCTATCAACTGGACAAGCTGTGTCAGGGAGGAAAGGCACGGTGCCTTACCAGTTTGTACGTTAGCCTTTGACTGGGCCACAGTCAGTGCTGGAGCATCAAGCCCAGTCCACGCTATACCAGGGCAAGTCTGTTCCACAACTGTAACTCTTGCAGAGGACCTGGGTAGGTTCCCAGCACCCACCTCAGGTGCCTCACATTCACCTATAACTCCAGTTCCAGGGCATCCAGTGCCTTCTTCTGGTCTCCTCAGGTACTTGTGCATGCTACCACACACAAAAATAAATCTTTTTTAAAGGTCACATTCTATATTGGTTTTAAAGCAAATGTCTGCTCAGTGGTAACTGAAGACCTAAGACATTGTGGAATGTAACTTTTCAGATGCTAAACACTAACCCATTAGCTTGCCTCCCTAACAGTGTGCTAAAAAAGTAGACATAACTCCCAGAAGAGAGGCCTCTCACTTTTGTTTTTTAGATTCCTTTCAGCTGTAACCCCCCACCCACCCACCACCATTGCCATGAAGGGCTTTGCCTCGGCTAGACAGACAGTCCCTTTCAGAGCCATGGCCAGCAGGGCCAGCATGCTGTTCTTATCACTTACTTCTGACCATTTTCTACATACCTCACAAAATAGTTAGACAGACAGAAAAAGCAGTACTCTTCAGGAGGGGTGAGGAGACGGTCAGAGTATCGCACAGTGTTTGCTATCTGACAAACCACCCCACTACTCAGGGCCTTAAAACAACACTCATTAAAACATAAATACATTTGTCATTCTGTGGGTGGGTAGTTTAGGCTCAATCCAGCCAGGCTACCTCATCTGTTTCCACATGATATCATTTGCCTGGCACCATCACATGCCCAGGGCGTCAGCCAGAGTGGTTGGGAAGATTGGGTGAAAAGTTGGGATAATGTGCAGCCGAGCTTTTTCCATGTGGCTGCATCCTGTTACAAGCAAGTTCAGCCTTGTTCACAGGGTTCTTAGAGGGAAGGAAGAGCAAGTCCTAGTGCGGGAGCTTCTTCATAGCCCCTCTTCCATTTGTTCATCTTAACTTTCAAGCCACTTTTTATATTTTCTAGCATCCCATTGGCAAAGGTCAGAGGGCCAGGAACCAGATGCAGGTGGTGGAGAACTGTACTTTCCTCTGTTGGAAGCAATTATGCAGAATTTGGGGCTAGCGACTATAATTTCCTAAGGCCAGGATTACATGCTCATTAAAACAACAACAGCAACAACTCTATATTGCTACCTCTGATTCCATGAAGCTCTTGACTTTAGGATACTTTCATTCTAAGGGAACAAAAAACATTAAATTCACATTATCTTTCTCCCTTCCTTCTTCTGCTCAGGTGGGAGTGAGAAATATGTTCAGAACTAAGAGTGAAGCTGTAACACAGGACATTTAGGAAGGACAGAGCATTTCATTGGCATTCTGGATATGTTATTTTCTCATTATTCTGGGGAACAAACCCACAGCTTTTAACACAGTAGGCAAGAGATCTACCACAAAACTGCAGCCCCTCCCCCTGTTCTGGACATGTTATTTCCATGGTATTATACCCGCCATAGGCGATGGTATTGCATTTGCCATCTGCTCTAGAGAGACACTAGGAATTTCACTACTGTTTCCCTTCCCCTGTCCTTTACCAGTCCTGTCCAGATCCTAGAAGGTTTGAACTTGAACTAATGGAAGAGACTCACCTGAAATCTGTGAGCATCCTCTGAGACTCAGCATCCCCAGCCTCTACAGCAGGCTTCACCATTGACCATCACATGGGCATACACCTTTATGGGTTGGTTCTAGGAGTCATCTTGGATTTTTGTCTTCTTTACAATTTTAAAATGAGCTAAATGTTCCACATAGAGCTCTCAGAGGGAAAGGAAATTATATGCATAAGAAATAACTATTGGGGGCTGGAGAGGTGGCTCAGAGGTTAAGAGCACTGACTGCTCTTCCAGAGGTCCTGAGTTCAATTCCCAGCAACCACATGGTGGCTCACAACCATCTATAATGAGATCTGGCGCCCTCTTCTGACCTGTGGTCATACATGCTGTATACATAATAAATAAATAAATCTTTAAAAAAAAAAAAAAGAAATAACTATTGTTGTTGGGCAGTGGTGGCGCACGCCTTTAATCCCAGCACTTGGGAGGCAGAGGCAGACAGATCTCTGTGAGTTCAAGGCCAGCCTGGTCTACAGAGTGAGTTCTAGGACAGCCAGGGCTACACAGAGAAACCCTGTCTCAGAAAAAAAAGAAAAAGAAATAACTATTGTCACAGAGAAGAAAATAGCGGCATATACCTTTCTTTTCCTTATTTTATTTATTTTTCATTCATTCATTCATTCATTCATTCATTCATTCATTTATTGCTTTCCAGAAGCCACAAAAATTAAGTCAGACATTTTCACCCAGTGTGACAATGCCATTGGGACAAACCAGATAAAACCAGATGCACTCAAAGGAGCGGACCCTAGAGAAGGGGGCCTGAGCTCTAGAGTGGTTGTTTCTCAGGAACGCCTGCCCTGCCTGCCAAGGCCCTGCGGGTTGATGTATTCATGCTCATCTTGTTCTTTGTTCTCAAGTACCCACAGCTCTTTACAGGAATTCTCTCCCCTTGGAAAGGACTGCTGCTTTACGGCCCTCCAGGTAAATGCATCTTTCTGTTCTGCCCGAGGGCCGGGTGAAGGATGCCCGTGGGGGACTGTCAGTGAGGCCAGCCAAGAGCAGAAGCCCCTGTTCATGTTTGTCCTCCTGTGTCCCCAGGTACAGGAAAGACGTTACTGGCCAAAGCGGTGGCCACTGAGTGCAAAACGACCTTCTTTAACATTTCCGCATCTACCATTGTCAGCAAATGGAGAGGAGATTCAGAGAAACTCGTCCGGGTAGGAGTTCTTAACATTTTTAAAAACCAGTTTTCTAGAATACCAAAGTACAAAGCTATGTTAGAGCTTATTTGTTTAAGGTGATATATATGCTAGACTCTACTCGGATCGTGACTACTGAAAGCCTAGCAAGTGGATTAACTGTCACGTGTGGATATTAATCATATTGCCATCAGCAAAACATGGACTCTCTACTGCTGGAATTTTACCAACAGCCCTTTTTTGATTCACACAATTTAGGAATAAAAGCTAGAATAAAAGTCTCTAAAGTGGCCTACTCTTCCCTCCACTCAAGAACCATTCATTATTAAGCGCGCACAGTATATCCAGTCAACGTTCAGTGAGAGGCCGCTGCTGTGTGCCAGACCCGGTACTAAGTACTCTGTGGAGGAATCGAGAGACTTAAACCTTAATTATTCTTTCGGATGTTCTGAGCAACTTTTCTTCTCTGCTCATGCCTGTGCGCCGTGTTCTTTCCATGAAGGCCATTCCCATCTTTACAATATCTCATTCCTGGCTCACAGCATCTCTTACACTGTAACACTTTGCTGTATCTTCCTGTCACCCTCAGAGAACAGCTGCTTATGATGTACACCTCACCATAAAGGGGGTCCTCGCCAGAAATCCTGTTAGACTGTAGCCTGCTGTGTGAGGACTGATAAGTAATCAATACTAAGTGAATGTAAAATATACTTTCTGAAAAGAAATGATCCTAAAATATTACTCTGGAATTATGTTCCCTCCAAAAGCTAATTTCCAAATGATTATAGACTGCTTGGGAGACATAATGGAATATTTTAGAAGGGTTGGTTAAAAAAATAAAACCATACCTATTATTTATTACCTTGACTATTTATTTATTCATTCTTTTTTTTAAAGTTTTTCGAGACAGGGTTTCTCTGTGTAGCTTTGCACCTTTCCTAGAACTCACTTGGTAGCCCAGGCTGGCCTTGAACTCACATAGATCTGCCTGCCTCTGCCTCCCGAGTGCTGGGATTAAAGGTGTGTGCCACCACTGCCTGGCTCATTCCTTCTTTTTCTGGGGATTAAATGCAGGCCTTTCGCACACCGGGCAAGTGCTATAACACTAAATTAGCCCTGAGCCTCTTGGTATTTTGGTTTTCCAGTTGTTTCAAATGTTTAGTTTTTTATGAATTTTTATCACCCCCTCAACATTGTCTTTCTTTCCTGTTGTTCTGTTTATTGTACTGGTGCTGTTTTGAGACAAGATCTTTTTGTAGATGTAGTCCAGGCTGGCCTTGAACTTATGATCTGTCTGCTGGGATCACCTCATTCTCCTAGGTGCTGGGATTATAGATGTATGCCACCATGCCTGGATCAAGATGAAATCTGTGAAAATATGTATCTACATTTTCTTCTTTGATCTTTATCTTGAATCTATCTCAGGTCACATCCCCAGGGATTCCTGCTTATCTGCTCCTACATGTGTGGATCTCCAGAGTTCTGGTTAGCTCAACTTCAAAGAGCTGAGATTCAATTAACTGCAATTATTGTCAGCCTAAAACTGTTTGGGATGTGTGTGTGTTTAATTTCTGTGTGTTGAGTAACAGCAATACAACTCACAAAAGGTGCCCTGCCCTGAATAGTATAGATTCATGTCCTGTCAAAAAAAGTTTTTTGAACCATGAGTACAAGACATTGCAAAGTACTTAAAGAAAGATCCCAGACTCCCTGGACTAACCTTAGGTGGACATGTACATTTGGATATTTCATGAATAACCTCAACAGAGATGGAAAGAAGATGTTTCTTGTTTAGTGTTGAATGGCTAGAAACACCAGTCACAAGAATGTTCCCTTCTCTGTGAGTATTTTATTTAGTTCAGGTTTTGTTTTTTTCTGCTTTAGTATTATTCCAGGAGTGAGGCAATGCTCCCTCTCCCAGTTCTCCATCTCTTTCACCACATATTTAAAAGAATAAATCTGGCTTTATGAAAAATGCATGAGAACATACATTTCTTTGATTTGGAATATATGAACTCATATCCTCCTATTCACATGGCAGACACCTCACTAAATGAGCCATCTCCCAGGCCCCTAATTTGAGCATTTTACAAGTTACTTTAGAAGATACTTACATTTCTTTTTTCTTATGAAAAATATATTTTAATTTAAATATTTGAAAAAATATTCAAGAGGAAATTGGAAACCTCTGCCAGTCTTGAAGGACCTTATCTTATGTCTTTGTGGAGGTTATTTTTTCCTTGTTCTTTGAGGTTTTGGGAAGATCCTCACCTGAGAGTGTTAGTCATTCTGTCAACTTCTCCTTCCTGTAAAGGTTTTTAGAGAGAGCAAACCCTTTAGGACCTTCCCCTAAATCAGAAAAGCGTTTTCTCCCATTTGTTTCTCTTTCTATTCCAATTAAGGAGTTATTTATAGGGAACCTTTGGGCTGTGAACCCCCTCCTCTCCTAATGCTGCTGCCTCTTAGGAGTTGAGCACTATTGAATAGCTGAGTGATCTCTTTAGCAAATGCATACACCTGTTGCTGATTACGTCTCCCTCCCCCTTGGATGATTTAACTTCCTCCAAGCACCTCTGGACATTTTAGACTAATGCTTCTAGAAGCACTTACCAGGGTTCTATTTATTCTCTGGGAATGGAAACTCAGTAATCTGAGCAATGTGGAGACCTAAGTTCTAAATGCAGCTAGTTCTTGTAACTTCATGTTTAGGAGCCCCTCCATCTCCTACACCTCACTAAGCTCCTTAAAATTGTATGTAGGTCTGATAGAGGGTTCTACTACCCTCTTTTTCGTTGTGTAGATTGCTGCTATTGTAGTCACCTTTAAAATCAGGTGTAATTGGGCTTCTCTCTCTGTGACTGGAAGAAAAGTTATTTGCTCCTAATTAGCTGGTCTACAGTATATGAGAGAGGTGTTAGTGATAAGCTTCCCAGAACTGCCCTTTGTTTCATGACTTTGCTGGGGAAGTGTGAACAAATGTGTATCCACCCAGAGAGGGCACTGGTAACATACCAAATAGAGAATTCTATTCGAGGGTCAACCAGGGAGTCTTTGAAGCACAGATGAGTGGTCGTGGAAGTAAAGGCATCTGCACCACCAAAAAGCCCCCCAAGCTTAGGTGCTGATTCATGGAGGCTGCATACATGTCGCTCCCTGAACAGCTTGCAGGGAGCTCCACCAATCACAGAATCTCCTCTCTGTACCAGTTGTTCATGCTTCTACAACCAGGGGGTCAGCCTTGTAAATCTTGTATTTCAGGAGCTCCCTGAACCCTGTGAATTCCTCTTACTCCCCTAGCCTGTAAATTCCTTTTATTCTCTGAGTCTTGTAAATTCCCTTTATTCTTTGAGTATCATAAGTTCCCTTTATTTCCTGAGCCTTGTAAGTTCCTTTACTTCCTAAACCTAGAAAGTTCCCTTTATTCCTGGAGCCTTGTAAAATCTCTGAGCCTTGTAAATTTCCTTTACTTCCTGGGCCTTTTAAGTTCCCTTTACTTCCTGAGCCTGTAAGTTTCCTTTATTTCTTGACTCTCCTTAGCTTCCTCCTTTGTCTAGGAAGGGATATTTCAATTAAGGAAATTCTTAGTTTATGAGAAGGAGCCAGGTCCTATGAACCAGGATTCTGGCACAGGGAAGTGTTGACACATCACCTTGGACTCACCATACCCTGAGTCATAGGGATGAGAGAGATTTCCTCCTTAGTGGCCAGAGGCTTGGAGGGATGTTCTGCCGATGCTCCTGAAAGCCATACTCGAGCTTTTCAAAATCCTCTTACTGTCCTGGGATGCTTTCCTTGTACTAAGTGACATGGAGAATAAATCCCCCATGGCAACTGAAGAATCTCTGCTCTGCTCTTTCCCATATCTCTGCCACATTCTCTAATCAACCAGTGAAGAATTGTATATGGTGCTCAAGAGATCAGTTGCAGGATTTAAAAAAAAAGATTTAGCTCTTTTTACTGTTCACCACCACTGTATCTCCCTGTCGAGTTCTTCATTATTGGTTTTTATGTCTGTTCTTTTGCTGGCTGCTTCCTTGTTCTTGTTCAGTCTGCAATATTTTACTCTGGAACAGAACATCGTATTCAATCAAAACTTGCTTTTGAGAATCTGCTCCTCTAGTATTTGAGAGGCAGAGCAGAAGGATCACTCTGAATTCACCGGCCAACCTGGGTGATACTGTGAGTTCCTGTCTAGCTTAAGCTGTTTCAAGACAATGACAAAACCCAGCAACACTAACAAACAAACAAAGAAAAAAGAGTGTTCAAAGAACCCGACTCTAGCCATCAGTGTTGAGGTGGGGTGGGGGCCCCATGGAATCACTCAGGGAGCCGAGAAGGACATTTTCAGTTTGTTATCCACAACTGTCCCTTTCCTGAACTTCTTTCTTCTGAGAATGATCCTGTTGTGCCCAAAGATGAAAGGAGAAGTTACCACATGATCTTATATATTCTAAGGATGTTTGTGTCCACCGGAAACATGTGATTGGCCGGTGTCTCCGGGGTTAAGTAGGCAATTAGAAGCTTGGGAACTGAGTTTTGTCTCCAGCTCTCATCTTTGTCTTTAGTAACCTGGAACTAGCCACCCACTCTCTCTGGCTCTAATTTTATCAAATGATAAATGGAAATAATTGGACCATCCAGCCCCCTAGGGTAGAACTAGGGAGAAATGACAGTGATGGTTATAAAGCTGCCTCAGAGTACTGGTGTAGAACAAATGCTTAGTATTACAGCAGTTCTAAACTTTTAATCTGGGACTATTTGAGGGCTTAAATTGAAGTGTATGACAAGGACTAACTTCAGAATATATATTTGAACCTACTTTCGCTTTTCCTCACTCAGGTGCTGTTTGAACTTGCCCGCTATCATGCCCCCTCCACGATCTTCCTGGATGAGCTGGAATCTGTGATGAGTCAGAGAGGCATGACTCCTGGGTAACAGACTTGGTTTTTTTTTGGTCATCATTTCTCCCCTTTGTAAGTGTGTGTGATGGTCGGAAGCCCATCGACATTTACCAGCAGAATGAGCCTATTAATAAGCCCACAAATTTTCTGCAGACACATGGAAAGGTCTTTAAATTAGATCCTGTTAACTGAGTAGCTGATTTAAATAGTTTTTATAACCGGAGGAAATATCATCCTCCCTTCCCCCTTCCCCACAGAGTGGCTTTCAGGCCTGAAGATCATCCAGCCGCAGGATCCCAGGCTGCCATGATGGCCTGGCTGCCTCAAAATAACCTCCTCTGGAGCCAGAGGGCTGCCAGTGGGGACTGGGGCTCGCCCATGCAGCCACAGGATGGGCTGCCTCTGCATTACATTCCCTGGAGGCGGTCCTTGATGGTGTGGGAGGCCAAGGAAAGCGGTGATTCTTTGACATCTGTCACATGCATTATTTCTAAAGATTAAGTGTCCAAAAATGTCCTCAGAAGGAAGGTTACAAATGCTTTCTGATTATGCTTTCAAAAGGGCAAATAGGCTTGTTGGTTTGCCTGCTTGATTTTGTGAGTGTGGCATATTTTGTGTGTGTGTGTGTGTGTGTGTGTGTGTGTGTGTGTGTGTGTGTGTGTCTGGCTTTCTATGTGGATGCTGGGATCAATACTTAGGTCCTTGAGGCTTAGACAGCACTACTTTACCAACTAAGATACCATCTCAGGCTCCATTTTTAAGTTCTTTGAAATTTATTTTAAAATATTTTTTTTAATTCTTTGAGAATTTCAAACAGTATATTCTGAGCACATGTGCTCCCAGTTACTCCCTTTAATTTCTCCAGGTCCGCACTACTCCTCACTTCTTTCTTTTCTGTGTAGCCCTGGCTGTTCTGTAACTTGCTTTGTAGCCCAGGCTGGCCTCAGACTCAGAGATTTGCCTGCCTCTGCCTCCTGAGTGCTGGGATTAAAGGTGTGCACCACCACCACCTGGCTCATGTCTTCATTTTTAAAAAATTATTTATCTGAAAGTTCATTGACTCTTCTTTGTGCTGACTATATACTTCTGAGTATAGGGCCATCTGCTGGAGCATGGTTCTCTTACCAGGAGCCACACCCTTAAGAAAACTGACTTTCCCTCCCCTAGAAGCTCCTCAGTCAGGAGTGAGGGCTCATGAACCCCTTCCCACTCCATGCTAGCATGCTGACTGGCTTGCTCTTGTGCAGGTCTGGTGCAGGCATTCACAGCTGCTGTGAGGTCACGACTGTAGCGGACCTGTCATGCCCAGAAGATGCTGTTTACTCCAGTCCTCCCTGCCCTCTGGCTCTTACAGTCTTTCTACTCCATCTCTGAAATGGTCCCTGAGCTTTAGGAGAGGAAGGGTGTTATAGATCTGTCCTGTGTGTGGCTGGGCTCCCCAGCCACTTCTCTGCACTTTGGCAGTTGAGTTTCTGCATTAACCACCATCTATTGCACAAAGAAACTTCTCTGATAAAGTATGAGAGCTCCACTAGTCTATGGGGAGAAAGTTATGAATTTAGAGTACAGTTTTATACTTGTCCAGTTAGCAAAATAATAGTAGTAGGTTCACCCCTGGGGCCTGTGAACTCCCCAACCTTGTGTTAGGGGCTGGATTTGCAGTATCAGGCATGTACCGTGTCCAGTGAAGGGGGGGCCTTAGCTCCAGTCAGAAAGCAGCTGGTTACCTTCGTAACACTCATGTGACTATTACTATCCCAGTCATTGCAGTTTACAGGGGTCACAGCTGGATAAGACTGTTAATTCCCAAACTAGGCACAGTGGTGCTCGCCTTTAATCCCAGCACTCAGGAGGCAGAGGCAGGTGGATCTCTGTGAGTTCAAGGCCAGCCTGCTCAACATAGTGAATTCCAGGACAGCCAGAGATACATAGTGAGACCGTCTTGAAAAACAGTAACAACAAAAGACTGTTGACATCCGATGCTAATGATCCCCCAGCATCCTGCATAGCACCCTCTGCTACTTACCCAGTAGGGAGGAAGCTTCCTGGTCAATATTAACATGATTTCTCAATGTCTTATGATCAATGTATGTGCAGTCTTCAGCAATAGTGTCTTACAGTCAAATTCTGATGGGCAATCAAGAGCAGTAGCAATAGCCTGTCTTGTTTTGGGGTTCTCTAGAACACCCTTGACCAACAATAGAGGAGAGCAGAGTGTGGGACTTTTTATTTGACAACCTTTGGATGGGTTCTGAGATGAGTATAATTCCCTGTGAAGGGCAACTCCAATTAAACTCTTTTATATGAATATGTGTGTACATGTGTTTGTACACACACACATACATGTACACACACATACACACACACACACACACACACACAAAATAGTAGGTTTCCATATAGCTTGCCCAAACATCCTTAGAGTTCTCATGTATCCTAGGCTGGCCTTGAACTCACTGTGTAGCTTAGGATGATCCTGAACTTTGATTCTCCTGCATGCACCTCCCAAGTGTGGGATTACATGTGTGAGTACACATGCTAGGGATTGAACCCAGGGCTTTGTGTTTGCTAGGAAAGCACTCTATCAACTTGATTGATTTGTTATGATCAGAGATATTTTTTGAAACTTTTTATTATATTTGGCACCTCTATCTGGAAAAATAAAAACAGGTGTCTGGAAAACCTCTGTGCAGCTGTGTTTATTAGTGACCTTTAATAGTCTGTTATCGAGACAAGCCCATGGTAAGAAAAGGCAAAGGATTTGCTTGTTGGAAATATAAAAGTAGAATTAGAAAATAATGTGTGAAATTTTGCTCAGTGGAAACCAGGGAAGCCGAAGAACAAGGCTGCAGCCAAGGCGGGTGCGTGTTTACAGCTGACTGAAATGGGACACGGACCTGACCTTACTGTGCCTGGTCAGATCCAACTGCAGCCCTCTGCCTTGCTACACCAGCCTGCCAGGATCACCCAGCTTCACCCACCCCACAGGCCCCTGAGGCCTCTAATTGTTCTCCCTCTGCAAAGACAGGCTTTCTGGCCTGCCTCGGGGGTGGCCTTTGCCTGCCTTGTAGAGCATCCTTCCCAGTTTCCTAGATTTCATTAATTTGGTTCTTCCTCTACCATCCCTGATAGCAAGTGCTTTATCCGGGTTCTTCCTGAGTTTCAGTGTCCCTGTATGGAACTTGAAAATCCCAGTTTAAAAAATAAGGGCAACTAAGCTGAGCATGATAGTGCACCCCTTTCATCCAGCACTTGAGAAGCAGAGGCAGAGGCAGGCAAGTCTTAGTGAATTTGAGGCCAGTTTGGTCTACATAGTGAGTTCCAGGCTAGCCAAGGCTACATAGTGAGACCTTATCTAAAAAAACAAAAACAGATAAAAAATAAGGGCAACTGTTTCGATGTCTTTTGGGGTCATATTATGCTAGTTGTGCATAAGTATGGACAAGTACATCAAAATTAGCACATGTACACATTTTATGCATAGTTGGGGGCAAGGGCTATGTGAACATGTAGCTGTAGAGTGGGAGTCTTTTCTCTTGAGAGGCACTGATTCTATGAAGTCACACGCAGGTGGAGCACCCCCAGTGTGAAAATCCAGTGTGTGGACAGACCTGTTCTGAACCCTTCTTAGTGCTGGCAGACAATTACAGTGGGAGATCCCACTCATGAAAGTTTGTTTCATATGTGAAAATATAAAATACCATATAAATTACCTTTAGGCCATGTGAAAAGGTACGGATGAAATTAATTTCATGCTTAAACTTGGGTTTTATCCCCAATATGATGCTTTATGTATATGCAAACATTCCAAAGTTCAAAAAATCCAAAACATCTGAGATAAAGAATACTCACTCTGTACTTAATATGGGTTGCTTCCACACGTGTGCATGAGAGGCGGAATGTTGTGCATCTAGGAAAGATGTTTTGTTATTTTTCTCTTAACTAAATCAGTGTGATTGAATAGAATCTGCTGAGTGGGTTCTGGGTTTAAACCTAATATGGGTTGTTCAGATCTTCATGCGTGCTGCTTCTTGGTGGAGGGGACTTAGGCAATAGTGATGCAGGCCGAAAGGGCAAATTTGTACAGAAAGCAGATTCTGATCAATGTCATTATCATGTATTTCATTAGGAGAGAATGAAGCCAATTCAGTGGAGGGATTTTATAACACACAAATGTACACATACACAGTGATAAGAAACATGAAAATTACGTGATGCCTGCTCTATAAATGAAGGGGTATTCTATTATACCATTTCAATTAATTGATTAAATTTGATTTTTTTTAAGCCCAAGCTGGCCTGAAACTATGTAGTCCAGGCTAGCCTCAAACTCATGGCCATTTTCCTGCCTCAGCCTCACCAGTGTCAAGCCACTACCACACCTGGCAATTATGGCATTTTTAAAGGGTTAAATAATGGAGCAGCTGGACACAGCTGGGTTACGTTTAACCATTCTTTAGTTATTTTTTTAGTTCTGCATCAACCATTGTTTTTCTTTTAAATATCATCATTGTATCATTTACCTTGCCCATTTTCTTTAACTTACTTGCTATCAGAATGGAGCTTGTTTTACAGCCACAGGGCCGTTGCTGTGAGGGCCACTCTTTTCATGAGGCAAAGGCTCTGCTGTGAGAGGGAATCATATCTCCTTGTCTCTGCAGAGCAGAGCACGAAGGAAGCCTTCGGATGAAGACGGAGCTACTGGTGCAGATGGACGGGTTGGCCCACTCGGAGGATCTCGTGTTTGTCTTAGCGGCGTCTAACCTGCCATGGTAAGGTATCCAGAGAACATATCACACATTTTCGTGAGCCTCTACATACAGATAAAGATGTCAGTGAGCGCTATAGGAGGCGGTATTAAAGTTATACACAAATTGAATCCATAGTGGATGTGGATATGACAGGGAATCAATCTCCTTTGGATATAAAGACCAGCATAAAAGTGGGCAGCCCATTCCTGGGGTGTGGGTTCTAAACTATGTAGGAGTAGAGTGGAGTTGATCAGGAGGCATGCATGCATGCATTTCTCTCTGCTCTTGGCCATGGGTCCTGCCACCCGACTGCCCTGCTGTGATGGACAGTAACCTGGAACTGTGAGCTAAAATAAACAGTTTCTCCCTTAAGTTGCCTTTGTCAGGTTTTTAAATATTCTTATTGAAGTAACAGAAATTAGGACATAAGGAGGGACTATACTTTGTTGTTGAATCAGGCAGAGGTTTTGCATAGACCTATAAATGCTTAATATCTCTAGTTCTCAAAGAACATTCCAGAAATAATGTTTTGATTTTATTGGTATTAAAATTAAAGTTTTTTTTTAAGTTAGGAGGAAAATTCTTTCTCTAATGCCATATAGTAAATAGAAAACTAAATAATCTCTAATTGAAAATATAATCTACTCTCAGAGTTTCCTATTCAAACTGTATCCCAGCGTGGTTTAAGAACAATTCTAGAAGACTTGGGAAATAAGAGATGTTGATTAGGGAAAACAATATCGACTCAGAGAATATATTTTAAAAATGTTATAATCCTCTTACAGTTCTCAGAACATTTTCACATTATTATTTCTTATGTCCTAAATGGGGAAGGAGATATATAAGGAAACATTCTTAGAGGGTGGTCAAGGCCATGAAAGGCAAATCAGCCAGTGGTCAACAGCAGCGAGCCGAGTGGAGCTCTCTCAGCCCACCCCATACAGCAGCGAGCAGAGAGGGGCTCTCTCACCCCACCCCATCTCCTTTTCCACATTTAGGGACAAACAGAAAGCTCCTTTGATCATGCTAATCATCCAGGTCCCAAACAAGAGACCGAGACCAATTTTAGGCAATTAGTTTGTCATCTGTTCCTTTAGATACATTTATACTCTAAACCTGGCCCCACCTCCCGACACACTTATAATACTTGTTCTGTTACGCTCTGGTGATCGGCATTTAACATTTTGAAGATCTAGTTATACACAATGTTAAAAGTGGAGTCCAGTAGAGAATTACTATTTAAATGTTTAAATGAACATCATTGATTGATGCTAAGCTTCTCTATGAGGTTGCCACGGCTAAAGTCATGATGGGGTCACCCATGTTAAAATTGCATTCAGCCAAACTGGGAGAGTTGTCATTTAACCTTCTGAGAAATCAAGAGAGATAATAGGCCAGAATTCTAAACAGGCCAGTTCCACAAACAAATGCTTCAAGGCCCTGGGTTGTACCCTCTGTACTGCCACAAGACACAACAACCCAGTAACTGGATGTTGGCCAGTCAGTTATTAATTTTTTTCTGTTGTTTTGTGTTCTTGTCCCCTACTTTCCAAGGACTGTTACTTTGAAATGGACCAAACTGCCTTTGATTTTTGTGTCTTTATTCTGCTGCCTTGTGCCTGTGGGTGTCCACTAGGGTGGGTGCGAAGCTGTAAAGCTCCTCACATGAGTGTGGCAGGTCTGTACCTTGAGAGACTTGAACACACATCTTCCTCCCCTCACCGTAACTTCAGCAGCTCTGTGCGGTGGTGATCCACCAGGGTCAGCTGTGGTCTTGGTAGTGTCTTCTTCCTGCTCTGAGTCCTCGGGGCTGAAAATGAGGCTGACTCAGTTCAACAGATTTTCTTCAGACCTTACCTCAGTATCAGGAGCATCACACCGCATCACATCCTGAGGGGGCAGTGTCTTGTTTTCTCACTTTTGTCGATGCCAAACTTATCTGTGGGTTCAGATCTATTGGTCTGGTTTCTCTGCTCTACATCTCTCTGAGTTTAGCATCTCCTGATCAGGGTTGACTCGGTAGTTAAGAGCACTTGTTGCTCTTGCAAAGGACCCAGGTTCCATTCCCAGCACCCATGTGATGGCTCACAACCATCTGTACTCCAGTCCTGGGGGATCCGATGTCCTCTTCTGACCTTCTCCCATACCAAGCACACGTGTGGTTCATAAACATGCTTGTGGGCAAAACACTCATACACATAAAAATAGCTGTTCTTTATATTTTAATTAAAACTCTCTGAAGAGTGACCTTGTGACCTATAACCTTAAACTGAATGTGCTCAGAAATGTGCGCCTTTCCAAGTATGCTCAGAAATGTGCCTGCCCCTAAACGTGCCTTCCTACGTGAATGTGTGTGGGTTCCCTGGATAAAACCTTCATGTTCTGCTCGGGAAGGAAGGACAATGCTTTGGAGCAACCTGATGCATTCTTGCTCTTCCTCAGCTGCAATCCTTCCCGCCCTCTTCCCCCAACCTTCCATCTTCTGTTGGCTTTGTACTCACCACGATGTGACCCATTGCTAGAGGTTACGGTTTTGTCATGGCTTCTGATTGACAGCTAGAATCATGATAAGAGGGCTTTCCCTCACCCAGTGGGGCTGCTTGGCTACCCCCAAATGTAGAAAAACAAGTATCACCACTAGCAGTGAGTGGGCCCCCTCCCCCTACTCGAAACTGAGAAATATGCTTTAAAACTTTTGGTACAATACCATTGCGTTTTGTAAGTGATTTTTTTTTTTCTGGCTTTTGTTTTGTTTTGACAGGACCTTCTTACATAGCCCAGGCTGACCTTGGTTTCTGGGTCTTCCTGCCTCTGCCTCCTGGCTGTCGTGATTGCAGGAATGCAGTACCGCCCTTACTGAGTTCTGTGAGTTTGAAAAAAACCTTCTCGAGCACATTCTGCATGGTTCATGGCCAGTGCTTTTAAGTAGTCGTGCCATTTAATTGTGCTATATGTTTTCATTGTATTATTATTACTATCATTACTATTTGCAGTGTGCAGAGGAGATTAAAGCCAGGTCCTTGTATGTGCGTGTTCTGAAAAATGTGTATCTGTTATTATAGGGTGTATTAGAGTTCTCCAGAGGAAGAGAACCACTAACGTGTATGTATATTATAAAACAGGATTTGTACTGGGCCTGGTTGAACACACCTGTTATCCCTCCTGAAACAGAAGCAGGTGGATCTCTGTGAGCTCCAGCCAGCCTGCTCTACATATGAGTTCCAGGAGAGCCAGGGCTCCATAGTGAGAGCCTGTCTCAAAAACCAACCAACCAACCAACCAACCAACCAAAGGGAGATGTTTACTAGAATGGCTCGAGCTGATGGTGGTTTGGTAGTCTAACCCTGGCCGTCTGCACACTAGAACGGCTGAGAGCCTGGCAGTTCCTAAAGGGGATGGATGTCTTAGCAGCCCTAGTCTGTGCTGAAGGCCTGAAAGAGCTGGGGAATCACTGGTTCTCAGTCCTCCCTGGAAGGCCAAACAAGCTAGATTCTGACGTCAGTTAGGGACGGCTGAGCAGCATCAGCTACACCGCCTCGATGTACTCACCAGCAAGACGCTAGCCAGGCGGGCAGCAAGCCGCTCTGCATTCTCACAGACCTTTTTGTGCCATTTGGTCCTGAACAGGGTCTTCTCCCAACTAGTCTTTCCTACAGATGCCTTCCCAGACCTGCTCAGAGGCTTGTCTCTCAGCCCCGTTAAGTGGACTGTCGAGATTTACCATCAGGCAGGGAGGGCAAACCTATATGATATAAGCCACTCACTCAATGCAGCCCCTTGATACAATCAAGAAATTCAGCAAATGCCTGTCCTGGTAGCGCAGGCAGATAATCCTAGCACTTGGGAGGTAGAGGTAGGAGGGTCAAGAGTTCAAGGTCATTGTTGGCTGCATAGTGATTTTGAAGTTAACCTCAGCTACGTGAGGGGTTTGGGGCAGAGAGAACGTTTGTTCTAAAATTGCTTGTGGTAACAGCTGCATAATGCTATGAATGTGCTGAAGCCATGCACCACCTAATGGTGTCTCAGGCAATGATGGGCTGCATAGACAGTGGTCCCCCGAGGTAATAACGGAGCCACAGAGGCTCCACACTACACAGTGTGAACACTTTGCTCACATGTCTGTTGATGCTGGTGTCAATAAGTGTACTCAAGTGTTAACTGTGTCAAAGTACAGCATGCACAGTACAGGGCCTAGTGATGAGAATAAACAACTGTTACTGATTTGCATGTTTTAGTAAACATGTTTACAGTTCGAGATTTTTATTATTTTAAAATCTACAACTTCTAGCTATTTAGAAACATTTTACTATAACTAGCACTCCATATTTTATAGGTAGTAGCCTTGCACATCTTGTATTTATCTCTTACACAAAAGGCTGCATACCATACAAATTGTTCTATGTTTTGGCTTTTTTTTTTGGAACTGAGGATCAAACCTAGGGCCTAGCACTCTACCACTGAGCTAAATCCCCAACCCCGGCTTTTTTTCTTAACAAAATATCAGAATGTCCTGGAGATCTTTCCAGATAAGGCCATAAATTCTTTTGTACTGCCTTTATAGTTATATAGTACTTAGTTGTGAATCTCTAAAATTTACCTAATTTTCTGGCATCTAGTGATGGCAACAGGGCAGCCCCTACTCTCTCCATTGCAGATAGTAATGCGGTAGGGAGTGGGCATGGGTATGTTTTCATCAATGCAGCCTTGGGAGAGGTTCCTGGAAGGAAAACCGCCGGGTCGAAGGGTAATGCGCGTGGAATTAGGGTGTAGCTGGCCAAATTTCCCTCCACAGAGGCTGTGCCATTCTGCAATCTCACTAGTGTGTTGCTTTCATTACTTAACATTATAGTGAGAACATTTCCAATGTCATTAAATAATCCTTGAAAATTGGATTCGGTAATGGCTGCCCAGAATTCCCACATGTGGACTATACCTTCATTGCATCATTCATTTCCGCTGAACGCGTATGAAGTTCCCAAACTTTCTCTATGAATAAGTAACAATGAAATGAGCTTCCTTGC